TGACCAGTTGTCATTTTAAGTCATTGGGTTTGGGATAGCCTGCTAGCTGGGCCATCAGTCACTGTGGCTGGCTGCACTGAGCTGATCCTGGGTACCCAGGAAAGATAAGGCCATGCTGAATGGAACCCTAAGGACTTATATCTGGTCTGTCTTTGCGTCTTTGCTTCCACACAGACATGTGACACACATATTCATCTTGTCCAAGTTTCATTGTCATCTTTGTAGGTGGGACTTCGACCCACCCTGGACTGTTTTGTCTGAATGGCATCTTTTTTTTTTTTTTTGGATTAATTGGTAGAATCCTGGGTAGAGTATGAGCTTGAGGCTTGCTGATTTTCTGTGTGCAGTAGCCTCACATGGATCTCAACCTGGCCAGATGAGTAGCTTTCAGGACAAGAGAGTGGGTTCCTGGTTTAACCAGGGGTGGGTTGAGTAGTTGAATCCACAGCTGATGATGTCACTGGTGCTGGGTGTGTGCATGGCACAGTTTCTTGCTGACAGGAGACACCTCTTGACTTCTCAGGAGTTCCATTTCCTCCCAGGAATTAAAATACACTCCCCTTTCCTGTACGTGGATCCCAGGGCTACAGTTCTACAATTCTATAGTTCTGATCATCCTAGTTTGATCAACTGCTTTGGAGAATTGCTCCCAGAACTTAAGCATGGTGCCCAACTGCATCCCTGTCACTCCTAACTCCTAAAAGCCAGGGAACTTTGTGCTCAGGTGCAAGTTTCATCCCCACTACCTTCCTTGAGTAGGCACCAATGACGGAGAGTGCACTTGGGGTCGGGGGGCTGGGGGAAATCTTCCTGACTCTACTGCCAGGACTTGGGGGACCTTGATCAAATGAGGTAAAGATGAGGGAGTCACAGGGACCCCTAAAGTTCTGACTCTTCAGACTAACTGATTTGACTGAAACAGGAAACAGCTGATTCTTGGCTGTAAGAAACACACTTCCCTGGCAAAGATACACAGACTGAAAGTGAAGGGTTGAAAATAGCAGACCAATAAACACTAAAGCATCAGGAGCGGGAGCGTGTGGGCCTGACAAAGACTTCAGGCCGATTTAGTCAGAATAGATTAAAAAAAAAAAAAAGGTCATCACACATTAAAAAGGGGAATAACCTGTCAAGAAACATGATTGCAAATACATATGCACCAAATGTTGGTACCCCAAATTTTATAAAATGAGCATCCTGAGACACAAAGGGACAGAGAGATCCAGACTCAGTCATGGCAATTCAATACCCTAATATCATCAATAGGTCATCCAGACAAAACTGAAACAAAGAAACTTCAGAGTTAAACTGCACCATAGATCAAACACATGTAACTCACATACATAGGATGTGTCATACAAGATCTCAGAAGCACACATATTTCTAAGAAGCCCGTGGAACTTTCTACAAAAATAAATCATGTTTAGGCCAGAAAGCAAATCTTAACAAATAAAATAAAAAAAAAATCAAAGTAACTTCTTGTATCTTCCTAGATAGTAATAGAATAAAACTAGAAACTAATAGCAAGAGAAGCTGTACAAATGCACAGACATTGAACAACTTGGTCTCAGATGACCAGTGAGCCATTGAAAATGTCAGGGATGGAATTTAAAGATTCCTGGAGTCACCTGAAAACAGAAGCATGGCTGACCATAAGCTCTGGACACAGTAAAGGCAGTTCTGATGGGCAAGTTTACAGTCACAATGAGCACACTAAAGACAGAGAGACCTTGTAAGCGAAAGAACATCCTAGGCCTTGGAAAACAAGAGCAAGCCAAACCCAGAGCCAGTATAAAGAAAGAAGTAACAAGGGTCAGGGAAGAGATTAAGGAAAGAAAGACAGAGGAAAAATCACAAAGAATCCATGAAACGAGAGAGGGTTCTTTGAAAAGACAAGTGGGATTCAGCCCTTAGCCAAACCAGCCAAAAGAAGGATAGACCCAATTTAAAAGATTTGAGTTGAACAGGGGCCTTATAGCAGATACCAGTGAGAAACAGAGGGTCATTAGAGAATATTTGCAAAGCATATTTAAAAAGCAAAAACCTTGAAGTTGTGAACATACGTGATATACTCAAATACCCAAATTGAATCAGGATTTTATAAGTGTTATCAAGACATTGCAAGCGAGGGTGTGGTGGAACCACTGACCTAGACCATTCCGTGGGTAGAAAGATGGGTTTGTTGGGGATCAGACCGCCAAGGCTGTCTGGGGGCCAGGGACAGAGAGAAGGGCAAAATGAAGAAAAAGCAAGACAAATTTTATATGACGGTCAGCATGGCAGGACCTTTGAGCTGATGCGGGCTTTCCTGATTGACAGAGAACTACGCACCCTTTCATCTAGTTGGACTTTGGGGTGAATTATGAGAGGTTCCTGTGGTTTAAGGGAGGCGCCTGGTAAATAGAAACCCGCCTTTAGGCCTCTCTATTGACCAACAACAATCTTTCTGTTTACTGGGCCCAAATCCTTCTGTTTATGACATGGTCACCAGCACTGCTATTTTGAGGTCTTCCCCCCACCCCCACCCCCACAATAAACAACTTAAATAGAACTGCTGTGAGAAGTGAGAATAAAGCAATAATAAGTTTCCAGCAAAGAGAAGCCCCAAAACAGACAAATTTACTGCCAATTCTACCAGATCTTTCAAGAATAATCAACACCAATGCTGCTCACAGTAGTTTGGAAAAGAGAAAGGAAGGAATACCACCAACCTCATCATCTGCACCGCTATCACCCTTATGCCCAAGCCAGAGAAGGACACACTGGAAAGAACCTTTAACACTGCCCAAGGGAACGTAAGTTAGTGCAGACACAATGGGAATCGGGAAAGAGCTTCCTCCGAAAGCTGTGGAGAAACCAGTGGGAACTCCGGCGTGGAGCAGGCAGATGGGATGCACAAGAGAGGGTAATGGGTACTGAGAGACGGATGTGAGCACAGTTCATTGATACATATGTATGAAAATGTCACAACGATGCTTAATATTTTGTATACTAATGTATAAATATTCATCAGTTCAGTTCCTTGACAGTTCAGTTCCACCCTAATTTTAGAATCAAGTTTTATGTCCACATAAATATGAAACAAGAGCTATAATTTTTGGTGGGCTCGTCAGTCCACCTATTGAAAACATATTTGCCGAGACTGGGGAGTTTGTGCAAAGCGTTCTGCTGGCCAGCCAAGACACAGAGGAAAAGAAGGAGCTTACCATGGGGAGGGGGGATGGCACAAAGGAACTTTGTAAGGTGGGGCCTCAGGGCAGGAAAACCAAGGCTGGAGAACACAGAGGTGGCTCTACCTTGGAGTGGCAGAGTGTCGCTGATTGCAGAACCCAGGCCCCATCTGTAGAGACATGGGAGAAGCCCACTCTCTAGGAAGGAGAACAGGAGAGGCAGCTTGGGAGAACGGGAGTAGCTAGTGATGTGGGTGAGGCTGATTGTGTCACACCAGGCAGAATCACATGCAGCCAAACCTTTGGGTTGTGCCTGAATGAAAATGAGCTCCTAGGGATGGTTGAGGAGAAGGGTATATTGTAGATATGAGGGAGAGAACAGCCACAAGCATTTGAAAGAGTCCAGACTGAACCCGGCCATGGGGTGGGCGGTGAAGAAAAGAGAAAGAGGAGCATGTGGAGGCCAAGAGAAAGCCAAGCCAGGAACCAAGAGCAGAGGACCAAGAGAGCACATGCCCAAAATGGCAGGTTTATACAGGAAAGGAAGCCTTGGGAAGGGGAGGGGAGGGGAGGGGAGGGAAAAGGCCCAGCTCCTAGGCTGGAGAGGTTTAGGGGAGGAGAGAGGGAGAAAAGTGATGGGAGGAGCTATAGGTGCTGAGTGAGATGAGTTTCTTTGGTATCTGACAGTGCCCCTCTGCACTCCAGTGTTGGTCATGTGTGTGAGTTTCCATTCTATCACCCTTAACAAAAGTGTGTTGTTGGTCTCCATCTTCATGGTCCTTGCCACCTCAGGTATGTGGGAGTTTGGACAGAGCTGAAAGGAGACACATGGGGCCCATCACATGATCACCTGCTGAAATCCTTGAGGTGTAAGACAAAGCTCGAAGCAGACAAGGAGGAAAGCATCCCTGCATCCTGGTCCTGATGAAGGCTCTTAGTCCAAGTGAAGGGAAAGCGTGAGGATAGGACCTCATCTTTGCTTGTTTGTTAGCCTGCTTTAGTGGACTATGTATGGCTTGAGGGCCCTGTTGAGTCCTGGAGTGGAAGAAGTGGCCTGCTTTGTCCCCAAGAAAAGGCAGATACACCCTAAGTTTGTTGGAAACTTCGGGTGTCCACCCACCCACCCTTGACCCTAGAAGGTGTCAATTCCATCTTAGTCACCATTTTATCTTTCTGCTTTGTGCTAGAGCATCCAGCCAGCCAGGCCAAGAGACCTGCACTCCCTTGGCCACACCAGAACAGAACCCACACTGCCTTTTAGGGAGTCGCCAGCTTCTTCCCTGCTCTCTTGCCCCGGGAGTTTTAAATCACTCTTTGAGTCAGAGTGAATGAAATTCGGACTAGATGAAGCTGAGACTCAGCTGTAACAGTGGAGAGTGCTCCCTCCCCAGTGGAGAGTGCTCCCTCCCCAGTGGAGAGTGCTCCCTCCCCAGTGGAGAGTGCTCCCTCCCCAGTGGAGAGTGCTCCCTCCCCACTGCCCTGGGTCTAACCACACAAAGGGGGGAAACTGAAGCTGGGGTGACTGCCAGGGCTCCCGCATGCTCTGTCATGCCGCCACTGGGTTGACAGCTGACCTTACCAGTATGCTTTCCCCATGCACACTGCCAAACTTCACCTGGCTGTTCCGGTAACCCCAAGGGCCGCCAGGTAGTAATGTAAGCGTAAAAGGTAAGTCGGCAGCAGAGAGTGATAGTTAATCATGAACAGTGACTCCTTTCGGGTCCTAGAGCTGCCCAAGGTCACCCCCAGGCCATAGAGATGATGACATTATTGCTTCCTCTCCAACAAAAACAACAGAAATTTCAAAACAAGAGTCAGATTCTCAGTTACCCTCAAATCCCAAGTGACTCTTGAGCAGGCCTGTTGCTCATAGATGGCTTTTCTCAGGCTGGATGATGCTGCGCTGGGCAGAGGATCAAGTCTTCAGAGGTCCCACTGTGGTGGAAGGATGCTGTGGAAACCACACCTGCATGGGGGCCAGGGCTGCAAATACATCCAGGATTCGGCTGCTTATTTCTCAACCCCAAAGACAAGAAGGCCGGCTGAAGCCAGATCTTTAAGATGCCACACTCACCCCAGACAGCACCCCACTGTTTCTTCAGACGCCGTGAAGTCCCATTATTTCTCTAAAGATGAGGAAATGTTGGTAGGACAGAATACTCTGAGGAGCTCAGAGAAAGATCAGACCTGAAAGGACCAGGGAACTCAGGCCTGCAGGGTCGCCTCCAGCCAGGGAAGATGAAGGCCCTGGAAGGCTGCCTTGCTGGAGAAGCCTCGGGAGGTACAATCCTGGTAGAGGAACAGACAATGGCAGTGGGTGGGAGGGCTGAGTTAGACAAAGCAAGCCAAAGTCTGGAAGGGAGCAATGTGACATCAACAATTGACTGGCCAGGCTGCCACACCCATTTGCATGAAGTCTCTCCTCATACCACTGAAGTGCCATCTATGAAAAGAGCAAGGATAGTGTCTTCATCAGGGTTACTATTGCTATGATGAAACACCATGGCCAAAGCAAGGCGGGGAGGAAAGGGTTTATTTGGCTCATACTTCCACATTGTAGTCCATTACTGAAGGATGTCAGGACAGGAACTCAAGCAGGGCAGGAACCTGAAGGCAGGAGCTGATGCAGAGGCCATGAAGGGGAGCTGCTTACTAGCTTGCTCTCCATGGCTTGCTCAGCCTGCTTTTTTATAGAACCCAGGACCATCAGCCCAGGGGTGGCACAGTCCACAATGGCCTGAGCCCTCCCCCACCAATCACTAATTAAGAAAATGCCTTACACCTGGATCTTATGGAGGCATTTTCTCAGTTGAGATTCCCTCCTTTCAGATAACTCCAGCTTGTATCAAGGTGACATAACACCAGGACAGATAGGCTTCAAATTATCCTACTACCTACATCATTGATAAAAGAGCAAACTCTGCCTCCCCAGGATGGGTGCGTTTGTGAAGTGCTGTGGACACTATGAAAAAGAGCCTGTAGCTCCCCCAGATGACTACACACGGGCTACCAGAGAGTCACAGCAAGGTGTAGACCCAAGCAAAATGAAAACACATGTCCACAAGAACCTGTGCGCCAAGGCTGGGAACATCTCGAGTTACAGCAATATGAAACACAGGTCAGCTTCCAGCCAGATTAAAAGAAAACCTCACATGAAAATTACAGTGGAATTGAACCGTAATTCAACTGTTCCTGGATTGAGCATTAATCGACTGGGCCTCCTGACATTTATTGACTGCCTCACTCAGCCACACCAGATACACATGCCTCTGGCCTGCAGCCTCCACTACGGTAGACCACATTCTGAGATATAAATTAGCACACCTTAGAAAAGGCAAAACAATAGAAATCATGTTAGGCTGTGGGTTTTCACCATAATGGAGGAATTACACTACAGGCTTAAAAAAAATTACATGGTTGGAAAATGCCAGAAGACCTGAACAATAAACATATTTCTAAATAGCACGCATGTCAAAAAGGAAGTCCAAAGAGAAAGTTAAGTGTATCTGTATGTGCTCGTGCACGAGCATGCGTGTGTGTGTGTGTGTGTGTGTGTGTGTGTGTGTGTGTGTGTGTGTGTCTTCGTGTCTGTGTGTGTACCAGAAGACAAAAGATAACCTCAGGTGTCATCCTCGGGCACCTTGTACTTTGAGACAGGGTCTCTCATTGGCCTGGTCTTTACCAAGTAGTCTAGGTTGACTGGCTGGTGAGGACCCAGTGTCTACCATCTCTGCCCCTCCAGTTCTGGAGTTATACATGCACATTGACTGTGTTGGCTGATTTTTTTTGGTCAACTCAACACAAGTCGGGTCATCTGGAAAGAGGGAATTTCATTTGGTAAATGCCTCCATCAGCCTGGCAGGCAAGTCTGTGGGTGCATTTATCATAGCAGTAGAAATCTGAGACACGGCCATACTTGACACTCTTACATAGGTTCTCAGGCTCAAATTTTGGTCTTCACACTCATATGATAAGCACTTTGCTGATTGAGCTGTCTTATCCAAGAATGAGGAATATTTGTAAATCCCCATGGTGATTTCAACAGTCCATTAGCCTGGGCAACCCTGCAGCCAGACCAGAGCTGTTCAGTCTCAGCTCTGACCTTTGGGGCCAGATGGGCTTTTGTTATCGGGTGCTGTTCTATACATAGAGTGCTTAGCAACATCTCTGGTCCTTCATCCCTGGGGGAGATGAAGCGCATGTTCTTCCCATGGTGTTGGCTTCTGGTCCATTCTACTGCCTTTTCAATGGGGTGTCATCACTTTGGGGGTCTCTTTTTGAACCCATTGGATTCATTTTTTCCATGTTTTCTCCTAGCTGTCTGCATCAATTCAGAGGTTTGGGGGTTTTGTTGGTGGTGGTATTTTAATAAAAATTGTAATGAACTTCTTGAATTTATAATCTCAAATTACAGGGTTGCTCCATTTCAGCTCTTCTGGCCTTTGGGGCCAGATGCACTTGTTACTAGGGGGCCTATCCTGTACACAATGTGATGTTTAGCAACATCCTTGGTCCCTATCAGCCAATGCTAGTATGTCTCCACCTCCATACACACATCCTAAATCACAGCAATGGAAACAGTCTCTAGACATTAGCCAGTCTCTCAGTGATGGCACAGTTTTGATAAGAACTCAGAGCAAGGGCAGTACTCCTGGTCAGGAGGGACCATAGCTCACACCTCTGCACTTCTGAGACCAGACTCAGAAGCTGAGCATGCAACGGGCCTGCACTTCCTACTCATTAGGACACTTGGCTCTCAAATTGGTCCCATGCAGAAGACCCACAGTCAAGACGTCAAAACTGAAGCAGAGCAGACACAGCCAGTTACCCAGGATCTCTGGAGGCTCTTACCCCCTGGCGGTACTAATGCCAGGGTGACATTTCTGTCTTGTAGACTTCCCTGGAGCAAGAGGCAGCAGCTGGGCTTGAGGCTGTGAGAAGGGCCAGGGTGTCTGTGTGCACCCTGGCCTCTTTACTGAGTCTTCAAACTGTGCATGCTGCACCCTCCGAGGAGCCTGGCTTTTTATAGATACTCAAACGTGTTCAGCATTAAGGCCAGGCAGTCACTGTTTACAGCAGGAGCTCACGAGATCTCAGCCCTTCTGGGAAGGATATAAAAGGCTGACTTGAATGTTATAAAAGTTTAGGGGGGAAGGAACGCTAATGATCACACAAAAACAGAATGTGAAGGAAACTATGGCCAAGAAGCAGCAGAGTGCAGCGGGACCGAGGTCCTGGACTAATGGACGAATCCCAGCGAGGGAAGGAAGGAGCTCGCTTCCCCGTCTCATCCAAGTTCTGATGAGTGCAAGATAAATCACGTTTGGAGAGGAACCAGCACGCCTGGATTAAGTTTTACCACGGTGTTTCTGGCATTTCTGGCAAACTTGGACCTAGGTCACATCATTGAAAACTTACATCTGCCGAACACTTGAAGCCTTGCTTTCCTAAGACACTGTGGAGAAGCAGGCAAGGCCCAGGCAGAGGGGAGAGGCATCCCACATAGAACTGTATGGGACTGGGAGTGAGGTCTTTGCCCAGAAATGACTCTGGGTTCCATCCAACCTGAGATGTGATCACCCTTTGCCTAAAGGTTGAAGGTCAAAGCGGCTCCCACTCCTCCTTACAGAGGGCTGTGCTTTGGTGTAGAGTCTCTGTCCCTCCACTGCTGGGATTTCACTGGGCCCAGAATTCCCCACCCCTCCCTCTGGGGAGGAGCTCCACGTCTTATCTGCATTCTTCTGTGTTCCAGAAACACCCTGAACTTGGGGGGTTGAGGGGGGAGAAAGAAAAAAAAAAAAAGAAACCCAAGGCTTCCAACCTGGCTCTTGGAATTGGCTGAGGGAGCTGCTCTCCTAACCAAGGCGCCCCAGGCCGGCCAGGGCTTAGGTGTGAGGAGGCCAGGCCCACTGGTCTCTGGCCATATTGCTCTGCAGTGCAGTCCCAGGCAGCTTATGTTACTTTCCCCTTTGTTATGACAGAAGAAACTCAACGCAAGGATTTATTTTGGCTCACAGCCTCAGTCCATCATGGCAGGGAAGACCTGGTGGCATGCGGGGTGGCCGGGGTTCGTGGTGGCCGGGGTTCGTGGTGGCCGGGGTTCGTGGCAAGGTCCTCTCTCATCCCGATGGCACAAGAAGCCGAGTCAGGCCAGGAGACAAAGGGATTGTATCATTAGCTCAACTACGAAGGATCGCCCCATGTGACCTACATCTGCTAGCCAGGCCCGCCCTGTCTCCCGAAGCTTCAGGAACCTTCTGAAACAGCACCCCTGGCTGGAGACCAAATGCTCCAACACATGGGCCTGTGGGGAGCATTTCACATCCACACCATAACAGTCCCTGTAGTCACCAGGCTCCTGCATCCACACCACTGTGTCCAAATGTGCCTCCTCCCACAGCAGGAGCCAGAATCGTCCATTCCCTGAGGGCAGCCTCCTCCAGTGGCTTCAACCTGTGTGTCTGCCTTCAGTGGGTGCAGAAGGGATGTGCGGGTTGGAGAGAGGTCAGCAGGAGATCTTTCAGAAACGGACCACCACAGGCCTGGGCTTTGGGGGTCCTCAGAGCTGGGTGGGACCCTGGTTCTTGCCATCCCCAGCTGCGACACATCAGCAAGTGTGTGAACCATGCAGCCTCCAGAAGTCTCACGTGTGGACTGGGTGTTGTCACAGACTCAAAGTCGTGAAGCTCTCCCTAAAACTGAACATCTACTAGGCACATAGCCCTACAGCAGTGGTCCTCAACCTTCCTAATGCTCCTTAAGACCGTTCCTCACATTGTGGTGACCCCAAACCATAAAATTATCCTGTTGCGACTTCATAACTGTAATATTGCTACTGTTATGGATCAAATGTAAATATCTGATATGCAACCCCCTACAGGGGTCCCAACCCACAGGTTGAGAACCATTGTCCTACAGAAATGAATAACACAAGCATGACACAAACAGTTGTGTGTGTCACTACCCGGAAGCATCACTCTCTAGACAGAGCATGACATGTGGCTGGGGTGGCCGTCTCCTCCTAGAATAGATACCACACAAGGGCTGAAACTGCCCTCACTGCCCTGTCCTCTGCCCCAGGGCACAGGGACACAAAGGAGACGATGAATGTGGCTTTAAGTGAGGGCAGAGCTTGGCACACACACACACACACACACACACACACACACACACACACACACACACACACACACATACACACATACACACACCTCCCTCTAACCCCGAGTACTGTCTAAACAATCCTTTCTCCTACTCTGAGTACATCCCATCTGCAGTATTTTCCACCACCTAGATGGGATATTTTCCCAACAAACATAGGTAAAGAAACACTAGCCAAGTGAGAG